GCAAAGATATAGCCTAATGATTTTAAACTTTAATAAGAATATGTATCTCTTTTTAACTCTATGGTTTTGTTCTTCTTATGGGTCGTATGGGATCAGTCTTGCAAATCAAAGCAGATATGTATGCCACTAATTTTATTCTATTGTAATTATTTTGTTGAAAATATTTATTTTAAAACAACCTGGAAGGATTTTTTTCAGAATGATTTAGTTGTTTAGAATACATAAATAAAATGAAATTTAGCTGCCACAAGCATTCTACAGTACAGGTAGCTCTTGACTTACAAACACAATTGAGGCCAAAATTTGTTGTTAAGTGTGACATTTGTTAAGTGAATTTTGCCTCACTTTACAACCTTTCTTGCCACAGTTGTTAAATGAATCGTTGTAGTTGGCAAATTACTAATCCAGTTGTTAAGTGAGTCTGGGCTACCCTATTGAATTTGCTTATCAGAAGGTCGCAAAAGATGATCACATGACTCTGGGACACTGCAATGGTCATAAATATGAACCAATTGCCAGGCATCTGAATTTTGATCACATGATCATGGGTATGCTGCAAAGGTCGTAACTCTGAAAAATGGTCATAAGTGGGTTTTTTCAATGCCATTTTAACTTTGAATGGTCACTAAACTGTTGTAAGTTGTAGACCACCTGTATTTGCCGTAGTGTGCATTGGACTATACATAACCGCATGATTAAATTGATACATATTTACAAATGAAAAATACTTCTGAAAAATATTTTTTACTATTTATAATTTCTGTAGTTTATGTAAAATATTTACATCAGGTTTATGGAAAGTAGTACTGAAAATATGAAAATATTCTCCCATAAGAACTTTGTGGTTGTATAAGCAATGCTATACATGTGATGAGGAGCAAAAATGAGGAAATTTACCAGAAAGGTCTATTAGTGTCTGCAAACATAATTCCATACAAATAAGAATCTCAGCAGGCAAGGGTGCTGCAGAGACTTGGAATACATCTACTTTGTCAGTCAATGATATGCTCTTCTTCTCATCTTTTGTCTCTCATTTTTTGTTTGTTTAGGAAGATTCTGGCTTTCTAAGCCTGAAGCAGTTTTACCATAAAAACACAGATCAAACAACGCTTGGAACATTCCATTCAGTAGCCTATTAGTATACTATTAAGCACCACTTTTGCTAAATGTAAGTCAGGGGTGAAATCCAGCAGGTTCTGACAGGTTCTGGAGAAACGGTAGCGGAAATTTTGAGCAGTTCAGAGAACCAGAAATTTCATCTCTGGCTGGCTCCAGAGTGGGTTGGGAATGGAGATTTTGCAATATCCTTCCCCTGCCACGCCCACCAAGCCACGCCCACCAAGCCACACCATACCCACCAAGCCATGCCCACAGAACCGGTAGTAAAAAAAAATGGATTTCACCACTGATGTAAGTCTACCGTGTGTTTTCAATGTAGTCACCTGGGTGGTTCTTTATGGGCAAGGCAGCTCCTGGACCAAGGGTTCAGATACTTGCGAAGCATAGATTTTGAAGGTTTCTTCGTCATAAGAGAAAAAGACCATATTTTTAAAAGAATGTAAATTTTGCCACAAAGACCCAACAAAAGGTATATTAGATTGCATGCCACATATTGCATATTGTTATTTTGTATATACTATATTGTAATATGCCTGGTATAGTAGTTAAGGTGCTGACCTAGAAACTAGGAGACTATGAATTCTAATCCCGCCTTAGGCTGACTGGATGACTTTGGGCCAGTGACTAGCTCTCAGACCAACTCAACTCATAGGGTAGCAGTTGTGGGAAAAAGAGGAGGAAGAAAGAGTGTTATGAGGGTTCACTGCCTTGAGTTATTTATAAAGTATTAAAGGTGCGACAAAAATAAATGATAACTTCTGTAGATACACTATAAGGACTATTTTATATTTATTCTGATTGTTTTCCAATTTCCAGCTACCTCATAAGGTTATGAGGCTGAGATGTAAAGTAAGATCACAAAAGAAAAATACAGTTAAGGTTGCCAGCTGATGAGAAAAATATTTGGTTATTGTTTAAACAAAGATTTTAAAAATAGTAGGCTACGCATCAACTGTTAAAAAGATGAAGTAACTCTGTTCAGCTAAGCATTTTTACCTACGGAAGGTTGAAAGATATTACCCCCTCCCCTCACCTACCATCATTGCTGTAAGATTCTTCAAATCTTAGCTTTCTTCGAGATGGCAACCTCTATGGGAAAAGCAGGATAGAACAAGAACCAACATTGCCTTGTAGAGATGCTGTCCGCTTTGCTGAGCAGTTTAGATTGAGCAAAATAATAAATAAAGGGCTTGAAACTTAGATTGGTTTTTAACAGAAAAATGGAAAAGTATCAACTAATCCTTATGCCACATAACTAGGAGAATGGTGATTGGAGAAAGAGACATATTTATGGGAGAATGGTGATGGGAGAAACGAGACATATATGTTTCAAACTTCAGGTTTTATCTATCTATCTTGAATCGTAGCCATTTGGGTTACGATTTCCATATTCTTTGCACTAGAGGGCCTTTATACTACCTGGAATAAAAGCTATCTGATTAAAAATTATATTCCTGAATCCCTGTCAGCTAGCCTTCTAGTTTAAGTACGAGTTTGGGAGAAGCCTGATGCGTTCCTGTTCCCTTTTCATTATGAGGGGGAAATGCTCAATGTAAACAAAGCAAAAAATCAGCTGGAAGCCCTCATGCTTTCTCCAATTCCAGATGTGGGGTGGCTCACAATTATTGCTGGTGTATCTGCCATTCATCTTGTGTAACAGAAGGAAAGCACTTGAAGCTTTCCTCAGGTTGTCTATGTCCTCACACATGGAAAATTGAGTGAGAGTGCAGAGACACAGCAATACACTCTGGAATAATTTGCTCTCCAGGTTGGATACACAGCCTATTGGACAAATCCAGTTAGCAATATATGCTGTAGCCTGAAAAATGCTGCCATATCTATATAAAAATGGACTGCACCAACAATATTATTTATTGCAGCTGAACCAAATACTCTATTCTTCTTAAGGGGCTTCAGAAAAAATGCAGAGAAGTAATGTTTATCTGTTGTAGGAGTGTCCAGGGCATATAATTTGATTTTAATAATCCATCAGTTTTTAACTGAAAAACAGAAGTATTTCTGTGAAATGTTCACTAATTAAAATGCATCATTCCAACCCAAGGATAAATGTGCATTGTAGAAAACCACACAACTGTCTTTATTTTGTATTTAAATTTTAAAATATAATTTCTGTGCACAGGATAGCATTATACATTAAAAATTATACACCATAAAGCCAAATCTATTGTAAAAATTCAACCCTTTGCAGAAAAAATACTTTGCTCAAGCATTAATCTGAGATTATGAGAGTCAAAGAATATATACAGAATCTATCTGAAATCTACTGTTCTAAGACTTATTAATCTTTTTAAAGCTTATTTAAAGTATCTTCCTTAATAGCTTCCTAGTACTACCAATATTATCTGTTTTCCCCCCCAAACATTAAAACCATTATGCAATTAAAACATTCAAAAGGAAAGTTAACAGGGGAGTTATTTATCATCCATTTTAAATGGCATCATTGTGGTTAATTCTAAAATGTCCTTGATTTTATTCTAAAAGTAAAGAATCCGTGATCTACATTTGCTATTCTTATCAATACCAGTAAATTCAGAGGTAAATCATACAAATGTTAAAGTGGCTTCATTTTACTCTTCCCTTTTTCTTAGTCTGAATACCTTTATAGTTAAATTAATCTCTACCATTAGAAAGCATGAGGCAACTGCCACAGGCAGCTGATGCTGTAGTTCACAAACATTTTACAGTACCTCCTTCCTAGTCATTTCCCCTGAACTTCTTACACATTCTGTTGACTGGAAAACAAAGCCGATTATGCTACATTACCTGTTTTACATCCTTTAAACTAGGGATGGATTACTGGCTGCATCTGGCTTAAAATAATATATGGCTCAAAATAAAATATTGAGCCTATATGGCTCAAAAAGCTCTTCCACACAGGGCAGGAAAATGCTTTTGTTTTGTTCCCCCCTAGACCTAGGGTTACTACAAATTTAGATCTAATATTGATATCTTCATTATTTAGATCGAGATTATGGACTCCTTGTGCACAATGCAAAGCAATATTTGTTAGCTTTTCCATAAGAACTAAGTCCACTGCTATATTAAATCACATTTCCTTTATGAGACATTTATTGTGTTGTCCTTATGTATGTTCACACACAAACTCCCTATCTTTAAAATGTAACAAGACGCACTTCAGTTATTGCATTATTTGTTTTTAATCGGCGAAAGTCGTCTTTAAGGTATCATGTGCCACCAACTGCGGGGCAGTTAACGTGGTAGTCTGCAAACACACACACGCAACCATAGCCAGGAAGATGGCACGTTAACACGCTCGCAGATCTTTGAAGACTCCCGATTCTCGTTCTCTTGTTGGCTTCAGTTGCCTACTGCAACCTTGCAAGTCGACGCACGCAGAATCCACGCATTCCCCAATTCATAAAGAAGCGCTGGAAAGGGGGAGGGAAAAAAAGGGGGACGCTTTGGGAGCACTGAGGAGATACTGGTTCCCTGGTGCGTACTATGCACGGATCTTCGCCGGATCCGTCTGAGTGCCCTAGAACCAACGCACTTCATAGAAAACTCCACACAAGGAGCCCCGTGTTTTGTTTCGGTTTTTTTGCTTCTGGGGGCAGAGAGTGTGAGTCAGGAGAGCCACTCAGCCCCCCCACCCCACTTTGTCCTCGCTTTTTTGGGGGGGGGCGAGCACGCGCTTTGCTTCCTTCGAAAGACCGCCCACCCTGGCTCCCGCCTCTTTGTTTTTGGGCCGCGTCTCTTGCGTAATAACGTCCTGTTGACGTCGAGGCCCACCCGCCTCTGCCCCCACCAGACAAAACACATTTGAGAAACGTGAGGCGGCGGCCATCACGTGGGAGGCGGCGGCCAATGAGGAGAGGAGGGTGGGGCTCGGTTGCTCTGTCATTCAACAGAGCTGCGTAGAGTCACAGGGCGAGCGGCGAGGACAGGGCGTTCGGCTGGTGAGGCGAGGCAGCGCTTTGGTGGTGGGGAGAAAAAAAAGCGAGAAGGAAGAAGCAGCAGCAGCAGCCGCCTCGCGACCGAGCCGCTCCATCTCTCTCTCTCTCTTTCTTTGCCGCCGCGTTTACGGAACGCTGTGGGGCTCCTTCCCCAGCTGTGAGTGGGCGTGCGAGGCTGAGGAAAAAGGGGGTGATGCGTGTCCCGCTGGCGGCCATCTCCACCGAAGCCGCAGCCTCCACGGCCGCAGCCGCTGCCTCCACGGGAGCTTAAGAGAGACGCGCTCGAGCGGAATCTTCCGCCCTCGCCTCCTTGACCGGAGAGCCTTTAAAGTAACGGGATCTGTCCCGACATGAGCCGCGAAGCCGACTTCGCTCGTTCCTGAACCACCCGGCGACGCTCTTCCACCTGACGAGGCGACCCCCCACCGCTCGCTCGCTTGCCCGCCCGCCACCCATCCATCCAGCCACCCACCCCGGCGAATCCGTCCGACTGTCGGAGATGGGGGTGAACTCGGTGCACTGGTTCCGCAAGGGGCTTCGACTCCACGACAACCCAGCGCTGAGGGAAGTCATCGAGGGGGCCGACACGGTGCGCTGCGTCTACATCCTGGACCCCTGGTTCGCGGGATCCTCCAACGTCGGAATCAACCGGTGGAGGTGAGCGGGCATGAGGCGGAGGAGGCGGCGGCGGCTCCTTTGACGGAGCTGATCGCTTCTCAACCCCCCCCCAAATTCGGAGTCGATGCGCATGCGCACCGGCGCCTGGTTATACAACCCGGGTGTTCGCGGCCTCCACAGGAATCGTTTCTGACGTCTCAACGGAAGGGAAGGGAAGGGAGGGGAGTGACGACCCTCTCCCGCCTGTTTTCGGTGACACGGGCTCGATAAGTGGCGTTTATTATTTCCTTCTGAATTCAGCCCTCGTTTCCTAGGAAAGGCCTAAAAGGTTTTACATATACTGCAAAAGGGTGCGCTGGCTTTTTCTTACGGCATGGGGGGAGTGGGGGGGGGAGGAAGAGGCTTGGAAGGTTAATACCAAATCATTGACAAACATTTTGCGTGAATCAAATGGCTCTCTTAAATCCTATTCTTTTTAGCTGATCCAAAATGGATGTTTGTAATCACGTTCCTTGAGGCAGTAGAGCAGGCCTCATGAGAATGACAATTGTATAAGAGATCATTTTTTTTTGTGTAGTCTTGATTTCCACATTGTTTTCCTCGCACTGTAAAAGACACTTAGCTTTTGTTGCTTGGTTATATATAATCGTCACGCTGCTATCCCTACTTTTGCTTGCCGTGCCCTGTAATTTGGATCTTTTCCAGTCTCTTCCCGGTGCTGTCAGCAAAGAAACAATGACATATGCAATCCCTCCTGTTGCTATGCACACACTTGCATTTCAGTTGGATGTTTCATAACCAGTATTGAGTTCATGGAATTTGTGAAAGATCTGCCCCAAATTCTCAAGTTAGAGTAGAAGGTTGGATGTACCTGTTTGAATACAGTGCTTAACAGGAAGTGTATTGAATAGAGAGAGAAGCTTTTGTGAGCTGCATCAAAATTAGATCAAGTGAAAGCTTCAGAAGCCTATTCCGTATCAAAAAAGCTCATGCCTTTCAACATAATTTGTTAGTTGGAAAAGATGCTGCTAAAGTCCTTATTTTTAGCTATTTGGTTCTGTTTCTTACTTTTTAAAAAGCTGTAAAATTAGGAAATATATGCTGTGCTATATATTTGCTGTGGATTTAATTTAGCACGGTGAGTAAATTTTATACTCCCTTAGGGGTATGGAAAGCAGATACTCAGCCATAGCAGAAGTGTAGAATGCGGCTATTGTTCAACAGTAGAGCAGTAGAGCATCTACTTTGCAGGTAGAAGTTTAATCCTTGCCAATCTCAGGAAAGTCAGTCACAATAGACAGTTTTGCCAAACAATGCAAGGAATCTTTTGAGGTGTAACTGATATGGGTATAATTGGTACAGTTTCAGTAGAACATTTTATGCAAGGATCAAGGCATAAAATCATTTTCAAATATTTATTAAGGCTCAGTGTTTTTAGGATACTGTATTTTTTAAAGTCTGAAACAATTTTCTGTTTGTCTTTGTTTTGACCTAATCAGGGTTATAGCACTGTTTTATAATGGTAGCAGTAGTAGCCACTAGGCAAGAAAAATGAAAAACAAGGCTATTTTCCATAATATGAATAGTGCACCTTCTTGTGTGACTAACACTAATTGCCTGGTTGTGGTATCCAGAAATTTTTTCAGGCCTTTGTAAATCCAGTGTTAAGCACTTAAAAGTCATTTATTTGAAATGTAGTCCTCCAAGGATTCTGATTTTTCTAGAAACAAGCATGCTAATAAATTCTGCTTGATCACTATAATTTGATTCTCAGCAGTTAATTCATTGTTGATTTAGCATTATATCCAGATAGTGTTCCTGATTTGTAAGTTCCAGTAAGTTATGGATGGAATTGCCTGGGTTTGTTAGACCTCTCACTATTAGGAAGACCAAGAGAAAGAGATTGAACATTTATCAATGGGTTGCTTTCATAGGTCATTCAATAGTCATTCATAGATTAGCAAGAATTGTATCTTACTTTCCTTCTGCACACGACCTTAGGCTGTTGTAGGTATCCTAGAGAAAGAAGTAAATGAAGAGGAAATGCTTAGAATGTACAGAAAAATTCTGGGCGTGATGAAGTGAAGTATACTGGAAACATTAGTTTGTGATGTGGTAAGGTGTGTGCAAAATTCATATTAAACTTATGAATGAATTTCATTACAACTGACCTACTGACATGCCGTGCATAATTGTTAGCCTGCTGTGACATATAGCAATCATTGACCTCTTTTCTCTTCATTATTTTCCTGTAGCATAGGCGGTGGTATTCATATTATGAAAACTTAGTACAGTATTCAAAAGTTTTACTGTGCAACTCATTTTTTTCTGAATGTGCCTTATTTCTTTATTAACAAATTAAGAAAAACAAATTTGCAACAAATTGCCTTCTTGAAAGCTATGTTATATGTTCTGTTAAGGTTTCTATGACTCTTGTGTAAAATATCTTTTATTTACTAAATACTGTATAAAGCATTGTTATATTTTTGAGTTCCCCAGATACAATAAAATTTCCATTAAGTATTTTATCTTATTGTTATAAAGCAGGAGTCATCAGTCCCATATATTTCAGAATTTGAAGAAATGGTTGCCATGTGGGTCTGGCTAGTCACAAAAACAAGCAAGTTGGCCATGAAATTAAATACAAGGCAAAAATTTAATATAAGTAAAACTAGTTATTTTCTGTAAGCAAAATAATAGTTTTTCAAAAGTAAGACTATATTTTAGGAATTTTTGTCCTATTTTAAAATTATGGTTTTTAAATGATCTTGGGATAGTTGAGGCTCTGAAATTGCAAGTTGTATGATTCACCCTAAAAATGTAAGTGGGAAATTGCAATCAGTTTTCACAATTGTGATAGAATCCTCCAGGGCGCACAAAATTATGTTCAACACTGCAGGTGGGTTGTGAGCTCAGTTTTCCTAGAAGTGATAAATAAATAAAATTTTATCTGTTTTAATCTCCATGTGAAATTGTGCTCTTTTTTCTTAAGGTTTATTTCATATTCATATACAACTGGTGTAGAATTAGGAATATCCTCACTACTAACAAATTATTGAGGGTTATTCCTGTAAAATATTAAATGTTCAATAAAAAAGCTTTTTCCTCAACACTCAATGGTTTTAGAAGGGTAAAATGAAATCAAGATGAGGTACCCTTATGGAGAAATACACTCATGGATATCTTATTTATGCTTGATTTCAAGGGACCCCAACCCAAAGAACTTGGGTAACTTACTGTTTTAAAATAATATATAATGTAAAAGAAAACAAACTCATACAAATAAAAATCAAAAGATCACAATGAGCTCTAAAACTCTAATGCCAGGGACAGAGCCAGAGCTTCAGAAATTTAGGGCACTTTTGCTTTTTCCCAGTATGTCATGTATATTGGCATGGAACAAATCAATAATTGAATGATTGCAGGTGTGCTTTGTGTTGAGGGTTAAAAGAAGTTAATTGATTGAAATAGTAATGCATCCTGCTTAGGCACAGAAAAGATAAAGACAGTATTAGGGTGCACAGTTCTCCTGGTTCTTAATTCAGTTACATGTCTTAAAGCAGGGTCCCCAACCCCCAGTCATGGCCCACTACTGGGTCCTGAGCTTTTTGAAACCAGGCCGCAGAAGTGATGGGCGAGCACGTGCCATCTCCTCCCACCTGCCAGTCCACAAAGCCGAAAAGTTTGGGGAACTCTGTCTTAAAGCATGCCATCAATTATATATCTCTGTCATATAGTATTTGTCCATAGTAAGTACATACGTATAAGTGACCTTTTGTTCTGGAAATCTGTGCTAAAAGAAAACCAGTGAAGGTACTTTCTTTTGCATAGATTCCAGATATATGGACCTCAAATTCCAGTATTCCACAGCCAGCATAGCTGTTGATTAGAATTTTGAGTTTAAGTCCACATAACTGGACATTGCCAAGGTTCAGAAACAATGTATTAGACAAAAATAAGCTCAAAGTTCCTTACATGACTCAGATTTTCAATTTAAAAACAATTTTATGCTGTATTAAGCTGATTAGCAAATAAGTTACTACTACTGAAATAAAAAATATAGTATGCATCCATATCTACTATATTATATCACAGTAAAATACCAAAATAAATTAAAGGCAAAAAAGAAAGAAAGAAAGGAAAATATAAATAAAAAATTAACTAGCACCATTGATTATAGGCGACATACCTATATTAGTGCTAAACCCTTGGTACATTGTCCATATACCAAATCTTATCTTGCCTTATGTGCTGTAAGCTTTTCACCTTGTTCTTTTTGAAGATTTTTAAAAGTTGAAGTCTTTCTTTGACATTCTGTTATATTAATAGGTTTGTAAAATAGTTCTGATAGAATAATAAAATAGTTTTAAAGTAAGAAAATAGTTTCCATAAGATAAAAATGTACAATTGAAGAAAGCTCTCAAGTAGCATTGTTTTATATAGTTACCATATTTTCGGAGTATAAGACACAATTTTTTTCCCTCCTAAAAGAGGGTGGAAATGTTGGTGCGTCTTATACAGCGAATACAGCCATTTTTGGCCTCCCAAAGCCCCGCCCCACTTGTCCCATTTTTGCAAAAAATGGGACGCGCAGAGGGTTTGGGAGGCCTGCAGAGTGGTCCTGGAAGCCGGAGAGGGCAAAACCCTTTTTTTTCTTACTTACCTCTTCGAAATCTTGATTATAATTAAAAAGTGCTTTCTGTGGAGGAGTTGAGTTTCCTAGGTTTAAACTATTTTGACAAAGAAAAAAATGTAGTATTGCTTTGATTGTGCTGCTGACTTAAAAACATTATGCAGTTGAAACATGGCCTTTCAAGAGCAGGATTAGAACTGTACAAGTCTGGGTAGAATAGAATTTTAATTTAGATAATTTATACAGAGTAGGTTTACTCTTGCTAAGATTGATGCAAACTGGGAGGAAATTAACCTTTTATTCAGTTATTTGAAAATCAGTTATATATATATATATGGTATATATTTTTCTTGCCCATATTTTCATAATTAAAAGTTATGTTGCAACTTAGCTGATTTTAAGAATCAGTCTTTAATAATTCATAACCAGCCCTAAGAATTTTGCTTTGGGACAAAATTTTCTACATACTGCACTTTCCTCCCCCCCCCAAAAGATTTTTGTTTTATTGCATCTTGACTTATTGTAGTAAATGTAAATCTGTAACATTTAATTCATAGTTGTCCCATTTGTGATCTTTGAATCTCCTTGTTATTTAGCCACCAAAGTAAAAGAAGTAAAAATAGCTGCATTTATCATTGATAATTGTGGTGAAAATTTAGCGGTTCCCATTTTTGCTCTGTAAAAGGAGCCAGATTTTTCTTTCCACAATGTATTTTAGTGAACTGAATATGTGTATTTCTGATGGTATATACTAGCACATGGCAAATCTCTTGGGCCTAAAATATTATCCAGCCCTATGTTAGGTTGACAGAGCAGAATTGTGTCAGAGAAGAGTTATTTAGAGATCCATGACCTTTTCTAGCTTTGAGAAGGTTTTGTTTTTAAAGGGATGCCTACGTAGATGTTCCAATGTTAACGAGGTTTAGCTACAATCAGTATGTATCTTCATAGACATCTTCTATCTTTGTCCGTAGATATTAGAAGTATGTTGATTTTGATTACATGTTAGTGAGAATGGAGGAACAATGAATTTAAGCTTCACAATACATTTCTATCAGTAGTACAATAATTAATTTTACCTGTGTTATTTGGAATTTAAATTGGTTAAGCTTTAAAGATGCAGTTGTATGAAATACTGTAGACTAGTAAGTTTTTATTTACTTTCTAACAAACATCTGATTTTCTTTAGAAGTGCAGCCTGATCTCTTCAAAACACTGTGGTGATGAACTTGAAATTCAAGTTATGAAACTGTGTTGTAGCATGATCTCTAAAGTAGGTCATTGTGACGGGAGTAGTCCAAACAGCCTTGCCTGGTTGCTAGAGCAACGGCCTATTTAAAAAAACTTTCTTGTTGATTCATATTGAAGTAAGCCTTTAGAAATCATGTAAAAAAACTGGATAAGAGAGACACACCAAAGGTAATACTAGCAAATATTTATTAAACTGGCTGTCTTTCTCTAGAAAGTTTAAGGGACTTGAAAGATGAAATGATATATCTTTATCTTATTACAGTAGATGTTATATTTCTTCGTGGACCAGTAAAAAGCATAGTTATGTGATACATGGAGAAAAATTATCATTATAACATAAATACTTGCTTTAGATAAGTAACTGTTCCTATCTTTGACTATAATCTATAATTCCTTCCTTTACATAATACAGGCAATCCTTGATTTACAACAGTTCATTTAGTGACCGTTCAAAGTTACTACAGCACTGAAAGAAATGACTTATGACTGTTTTTCACCATTACAACCTTTCCAGCATTCCCATGATCATGTGATCAAAATACAAATGCTTGGCAATTGATTCATACTTATAACCATTGCTGTGTCCCGGGGCCATCTGATCACCTTTTCAGATTCTGACAAGCAAATTCAATGGGGAATGATCCTCTAGAACTGGTTCTGCTTCCCATAGGATCCATTTTTAATTTTTATTTTAAATTAATCATAGGTGCTTGTTTTCTTTTTGTAATTTAAAAATACTTTTCTATAGCAAAACAATGCTCATCCCTATGTAACAAATGAAGGGCTAATTTTTATAACAATACAGGTCAGTATCTAAAATTAAGGTTTCTCTGTGGCTCTCTCAGAGCCAGCACACTATATCCCCAAAACTTAGGTCTTTATTAGAATGCAAGTGCTTTCTAATATGGATTCTCTATCTGAAAAACCCGGTTAGGGATACATCATCATGTTCCTGAGTATGCTAGAAAAGCCAGTTTTGAATATTTACGGAAAATTCCTGGAAATGGCAGGAAAAAAACCCTAAGAAGCGTGATTCATTTGTTGCATTTGAATCAGCATATATACATTTGAATAATTGTTCTAGACACTTTAAGAAACTTCAAGTGAAACTCTTTAATACAGTCATTAAATTATAATCAAAAACTTTACATTTGTGAATCAACAGATTTAAAGTACAGCTAAAATTCCAATCATACATACTGTATTCAGCTACAAGATGTTCCTGGCTCTTCAAATATTCCAATCCTTACAAAGTGACTGTTTTTCCTTATTTTGGCCACTATTATATTTTCAAATGAATGATGTTATTAACACCTTGAAAAAAATAAAGAGAAAATAAAGTTTGGGAAATTAAACTTTTTATAGTGCTTAAAACACAGTAGTTTTCTGGAATTTTTTTTACTATCCTCTGAACTTTTGAATTGCATCTTAGTTCAGGCAGAGGGATAATTAGGGCCAGTTATATGTTTCATTATATAGAGCTGTTTGATTCCTGTCATCATAGTAAAGGTATTGCCACGCAGATTTTATTTTTTTTGGAATAATTTTATTAAAGTGTACAAATACAAAGATAAAAAAAACTAATGCAAACTAAAGAAAATACAAAAAATAAAGGAAAAAATAAAATTAATAGAAAAAATAAAAAAGAAGAAAAAGATTCAGGTAATCCTCAATTTACAACCATTCATTTGAATGGTTGAATTGCAATTACTGAAAAAAGTGACTTATGGCCATTTTTCATCACAGCATCCCCATGATGTGATCAAAATTTGGACGCTTTGGCAACTGGTTCATATTTATGATTGCTGTGTCATTTGATCACCTTTTGGAACCTTCTGACAAGGAAAGTCAATGGGAAAGCCAGAGTCACTTAACCGGGTTACTGACTTAACTGCAGTGATTCACTTAACAACTGTGGCATGAAAGGTCATAAAATGGGACAAAACTCACTTAACAACTGTCTTGCTTAGCAACAGAAATTTGGGGCTCAATTGTGGTAGTAAGTTGAGCGCATGTATATAGAAAATGATTGTTATACACAATGTAAAATGACACCTTCTCTACTGCTTCAATTAAAAACCCCACTTCCCATGTCTCGCCCCTTACCAATAATCAAATTGCAAAAAAGACATCATTTAGTTGTAATTAGCAAAAGTCTGTTAAGAGTTACTAAAAACATTAACATATTTTAATATTAATTAAAAACTTCGATTTTATAATCCAAAATTATTACTCATGCTAAAAAGCAAAAGAAATCTCTCTCCACTTATAATATATAAGCCTCCTCATTCAGTTCTAGTAAAAAGAAAACCTTACAAAATATATATTTTAACTTGATCAAACAGGTTCACTTTATAAACCTTTTTAGTTTTTAAAAGCTTGATCTTTAATCCCATCAACATCAAGTAATGTCCCACAAGTTGCTTTCTTATTATTTTCTTTCCGTTCTTCTTTCAGAAACAGCTTGAGTACTGTAATTCTTCTTTTGTCTCTTCCTAAGGTTTCCTTGATTTCATGCATTCCTTTTATGTCATCTTTCATTATTAAGACTTCAATTGGTTTCATTTATAAATCTATTTTGGCATCGTTCACCATATTACTCTTATACTCTGGCATTTTAAAACCCACTTTCAGAACAGCAGCATCTTTTTCCATTTCACTTTTGTAATCCAGATTTTTTTAAAACTCCAAATCCACATTCAAATCAGTTTTAGTCTCTGTTTTATGCAATAAAATCTGTTCTTCTATTTCCTTTGCCATCTATCTTGTAAGTAACTTCTTGTATGTAACTTGAGTATATTGTTCCTAAACAGCCTTAATGTATTCTATAGTCAAATAGTGTTGCTTTTTTTCTACTTTTGTGCTCTCCTTTAATTTCCTTCTAATTATCTGTTCATATTCCAATCAACAAAACTTTTTTGGGGGGAGAGGAGAGAACAGTTTTCTTAATAATTTTAAAGACTTCATATATTGTTTTATAAATCTCACAGGTAATATTTTCAAGCCCATCTAGCCCCTTAATTTTCCAGGATCCACATTCTGGTCCATCCTTTTGCTGTTTTCTAAAAAACAAAGCTTTTCTTTTTAATCCTTACACTAACACTGGAGCTATTTAGGCTAATGACAATTCCTGCAGAATTTACCAAACGTATGACTATAAATTCCTATTATATATAATCAGCTTCTTGGGTCTGTTTGGCAGTACCTTCCATAGGCATACTTCCATTTCTAGCTTAAATCTATTGCAATTCATGGATGTCCAACAATCAGAGTATATTCTCAATCTCAAGGCTTCAGCAATGGCAGTGGCAGCTTTTAATCATTTTCAGATGCCAACTACAATATTGGTTCATGAGAAATTAAGGTGGTATTCTTGGTACTGGATAAATAGTTTCTTCTTCGAACTACTTAGTCTGGGAGATAAATCAACAGAACTTTTTCTTTTTGCTATCGGACAATCCACCTAGAGGTTGACCATGGATGCCTCCATGATCAGATTGGAATTCCTTGCAGGGATTTTAGGTTTCTAAAGCTCTGGTAAACAACCTGTTACTGAGGTGGGGCAGGGGTGGTGGTTCAAGATCAGCAGCACAGGAGTATTTAACATTTTAAGAGACTGCTGTTGCCTTTTTCTTTAAAGAATTTTTTTTACATGATAGCCAGTGTTTGCTACGTGTAACCCTTTAGAACCAGTAATTTTGTACAATAGCAGTTTAAAGTCACTTTAATACAGATACATGATACAGTATTAGCATACAGTAAGAAATTTCCAATTAACTTTTTATTTTTATTTTTTAAAGGATAATATTGAATTGTAAGAGTTTCTATAATGGGTTTTCATATACATTGACCTGAAATAGCTGTACATCATTATCAAAGTTTGCACACTCTTTCAGCTGTAGTCCTCTATTTGTATAACAGCAGCATTATTACATAATCTCTGACAGTGTCTGTAAGGATTTCTGAATATACCATGGAACCTACATACACACACTTACACCACAATATATTTTTGTGTTATGGCTGTAATCTGTAGAACCAAGATAATATATTATGATTGGTTATAACTCTTTCTGCACAAATCTTGCCTTTGCAGCAAACATTTTTAAAAAAAAACATATTTCCTTCATGTCTTCCTCCTTTCAGATTTCTCCTTCAATGTCTTGAGGACTTAGATGCCAACTTACGAAAACTAAACTCTCGTTTATTTGTGATTAGAGGACAGCCGGCAGATGTATTTCCCAGGCTTTTCAAGGTAAATTTGGATTATTTGAAGATGATTTGAAGCAAGTACAAAAGTATTTAAACTTACTTGAATACTATGATTATACTTAAAAGTAATATGTATAATATTTATTGGCCATATTAATGGGCATAATTTGGCTAAGATTTGCATCACAACATTGGGATTTAAAAGTAAAAACCTATTCAGATTGCTTACTTTTTAATTTTTTTGTCTTACTGTTTCATATTATAATGTGGTTAGATATATTAGATATAAATATTTACCATCTGTAAATTGCACTGATGCAATCATCTATAAAGATGAAGGAAACATCTAAACTTATAGTACCTTGTTGCAACAATGTATATTCCTGAGGCTTTTTGTTCTAACTTCCTTCTTTCAGCTTGTTATCTCTTGGTAAAATCTATTCGAATTAAGACAAAAATAACATACTGTAAGAGCACACACCTGAGAGAAGGAACGGCTTAATTGCATATAATCCAGTTTTATGAATATAGACATTTTAAGAAGGGAGTAATAAAAATGTAGTTTGGAATCTCAGGGAGATCCTATATTGATACTGAATTATGAATGGTAAAGTCTGTTCAGTTCTAGGAAAGTGGGCTAAAACTCTCTAAAGGTTTTCAAATCACTGTATAATTTAATGTAATATTCATTTTATTGGCCCAGTTCTGTTATATTTGAAAAAGGAGGGCTAAGGTCTTTGCTCCAGCTTGCTTAAAACCTCCAGTAGCAGAATTCTTGGCTTGTACACAGAGAATATTTTTTTTCTGTATTTGCTATTGAATATAGTCATTTATTTTTATGCATTCTGGGTATTTATTATTCTTTCTTGTTCCTTGACCTGGGACAATTGCAGTTTTAAAAATCACATTATTATTTGAAATTATAGGAATGGAATATTTCAAAACTTTCTATTGAATATGACTCTGAACCATTTGGAAAGGAGAGAGATGCAGCAATTAAGAAATTGGCCACTGAAGCAGGATTGGAAGTCATTGTACGGATATCGCATACCTTATATGACTTAGACAAGTAAGATACTAATTTCTTAAGTGTAAAAGAGAAAAATAATGTTTTATTTAGTATAAATAGATACTGATTCTGATAGAGGATAGAAAATAATTTTCAGTCAACATTTTTTATTACAGTATTTTCCTGTAATATATCAATTTTGCATAATGGATGGTTTTGCAGTTTAGCAGTTTAGCACTATGAAACATTTATATTTACATACAAAACTTGTATACTGCTGATTTCAACAAATTGACTCATGGCACTTTACAGTAAAAACATAAAACATCCATGATAAAGATCATTAAAATATCCATAGTAACAGGACTCAGACAAATGTAACATTAAAATGGTCATGATAGGTTTAAAAATAAAAATATTTTAAACATTGGAGATGTGAAACCATAGCAGACAATTTGGTGATATTTATACAATAGGGAAAATCCCTATGGAAAAGCTGTCTTTAATTGTTCCTTGACTGTTATCAAAGAGGAGGCAAGCCTGAAGTCAGCAGGGAAGCTGTTTCAAAGAACTGACACTGAATAAGAAAGCAACACCTCCTGGTAACAGCCAACCAAATTAGGTTATCAGCAGGAGCTTCTTTCAGTGCAGTCTTGCTGTTCAGGACAATTCTGACTGGACAATGTAGCCCTGGATATATCTAGATGCCAAGCTGCGAGGGACTTCATAAGTTAAAATCAGTACTTTACAGGTAATAATTGTCAAGAATAACTGGATTCAAAGAAGGTCTCCAGAAAAGGCTGCATACAGCTTCTTTCGAGGCTGTTGGAAAAAAACCCTTTCAAGAAATTTTGATCAGCTTTCAGATCCAGTCAGTCATTCCCCCCCCCCCCAAGTCACGTCTAAAAAGATTGATGGAGATCATACTAGAAAGCACCCTATATATTTCCTTGGAATTCACTGGCTGGGCGATAATACAGTCAGATGCCCCTGTTATCAATTGAACTCTGTTAATGAGGAGTCAAGACAGAGACAGTTAACTGTCAGTAAAATCCTATGTAAATTGATCACAACAGCTAAAGTAGGAACATTTGGGGACAATCTCATCCTCATCTAAATCAATTTTCAACTGCTCTGAAAGGAATGTGAGGTTAAAAGTGTCTGTGCCAGACCCAAGATTTATGAAGGCCATGAATTCATGGATTCTTGTGTTCCCCAGGATATAAATATCTGTCCCCTCCCCCAAACTAAAAGGTGTCAGGTTTATTCATTTTAGTCCTGAAATCACTTCCAAGAGTCTAGAAAGGGATTCCATTTGGCAACCAGGTACACTGGTAGAACTTCCAGTTTGTCTCTGTGGCCCAGTTTCAGATACAGGCATTTACACCCCAAAATTTCCAGAGCAGATCCTTGGCCCTGTACAAGTATGACGTCTTTAAGCATGAATACACCCCTCTCTACTTGGTATTGAGCTGGCTTTAGACAATTAGAAGTGGAGATTACTACTAATTTAGTGGTCATCCATGTCCTGGAATAGTTTATTCAACCTTACCTGCCATATCTCACTTCTTCCAACAAAAGTGGGATATGTATGCTAATCACTTCCTCTCCAATACTCATCTATCCCCTCCCTGACCACTATCTTTCAATTCACTTGTACCCATCATCAAAGCAATACTTTGTGGGTAAAATGGGCAACCAATACATTTGATTAATGGATGGATGGATGGATGGATGGATGGATGGATGGATAGATAGAAAGATAGATAGATAGATAGATAGATAGATAGATAGATAGATAGATAGATACAGACAATTCAACTAGGAAAACAAATTTCCTATAGCAGTTGGCCTTGGGCAATTCAAAGGGAATTTTAAATCAAATACTGACACCATCACCTAAGCTCTCCTTTTCCTGGAAGCTTCTTTCTCCTCTGTCTTTTTAAAAACAACATGAAACCCTGTGGACAGCTCATCCCCATCTAGACCCATCACCTTTGGCTGTTCTGTTACTTTGGTTGTTGAGATGTCAAACATGGAAAGTTAATGGTTTCTGTACCAGTCAAATTTGGACACTGGTTTCCAGATAGTTGTTTTTTTAATATTGAATTGTCACATGTTAAAGTATTTGTAAATTATAATATTTGTCAGTGGTTTAGATTCATTTTTAGTAATTTCTTTGTAACAAATTGTTAAGTAACCTTTCCAGTGATCTGTTCATTCATTTGCAGAATAACCAAATTGTCATTGACCCTTTTATTAATTATTTGTAGTAGGATGATTGGATTTACTGTATTAATTCTGCCCCTGAGCCTTTTCTATATTTCTAATGAGAAATTACTAACTTTATTCATAATATGAAGTAAATGTAATAACATAATATAGATAAGAAATGTACTGTAGAGTTCCATAATAAACAAAAAGTGTTTCTAAAATTATAAACTGGCATTGATTTCTTTGTATGTAGAATTATAGAATTAAATGGAGGCCAGCCACCTCTTACTTATAAGAGATTCCAAACTCTAATAAGTAGAATGGAACCATTGGAGATGCCTGTGGAAACTATCACTGCAGAAGCCATGTCAAAATGTGCCACCCCAGTTTCTGACGATCATGATGAGAAATACGGAGTTCCATCACTTGAAGAACTAGGTAAGCCAAGTGGGTTTTTCCCCATTTTACGACTTTTCTTGACACAGTTGGGTGAATCACTGCAGTTGTTAAGTTAATAATATGGTTAAACGAATCTGGCTTCCCAATTGACTTCACTTGTTAGAAAGTTGCAAAAGGTGATCACATGATCCAGGACATTGCAACAATCATGAATAAATGCTAGCTGCCTAGTGTATTGATCATGTCACCACAGGGATGCTGGAAAAACCATCATAAGTCACGTTTGACAATACCATTGTAACTTCGAACGGTCACTAAATGAATGGTTGTAAATTGAGGACTACCTGATCTTGTCATTTAAAATGTTGCTTTAAAACTCTATAAGAAACTGATACTATTAATGATTGCTTTCTGGATAGGGATTATACTAGAATACGTATGTAACATAATTCAGTAGAGTTTCCAAATAACCATGTAGTTCATTGAAAATGTTTGCTTTATTGTGAGGAAAAAAAGAGCAAGTTCCTTATTGTTAAATTTTGAAGACTTGCTCCTAGATTGGGTGTTGATAACTCATCATGGATTTATAATAGTTGACAGAGAGATTTCAGTATATTTGTCACTGCACTGAGGAGCAATAAATTATTTAAATACTAATTCAATATTCAATAAGTATTCAAATTCATCAAAACCTGCAAATTTAGCATTGGGTCAGTTCAGTGTTTTGAAAATATGTGTAACAATTGTTTAACATAACAAAGTTTTATAATTTATACAGATTGGCTAATAATATTTGACTAATATATTTTATTTTGGTTTCTGTACTATAGGTTTTGATACAGATGGATTACCTTCCGCCGTTTGGCCAGGAGGAGAAACAGAAGCACTCACGAGATTGGAAAGACATTTGGAAAGAAAGGTACGTTGTTCACCTTTGTTGTTTGCTATGTATAAGGAGAATCCTTGACTGATGAGCACAGTTGAGACTGGAGTATCAGTCATAAATTGTTCTGGTTGGTTAAGTGAGATGCCCAATGACTACTTCACTCAACAACCACAGTCCTGGCATTCATAGTTGCAATCATTAAATGGAGCACAAGGAGCACAAGGGTTCTTCAGTTAGTGAAGAGTGTGTCCTGCAATACAATTCAAAGTCACAGCCGCCTCAGCCCTGCCTTGTAGTGTGGCACTCATCAGCAGAACGTTCAGGCCTAGGCCTGAAGTAGAGCTGCCAGCTGGCTGCCAATGCTCCAGGCCTTGACTAGAGCCCTAGCACCGCCCCTAACAATAGAAGTGGCTCCAAGGCGGCTTGGACCTGGTTGTGACCAAGAGCTGCATTGGATAAGCTGTGCGGGCCTCTCAACATCAGGAAAAAACTGCCTGAAGGCAAATGGCATGTGACAGGTTCCTGGGAATGCTGGGCAATGGGAGCAATTGTGCTGTTTCCCAAGGCTTTCACATCTTAGAAATCAGTGCGAAGCAGCATTTCTGACTGGCAGTGGTGATGGCTACTGACTAAGATTGCTAAAAGCTTCAGGCCCAGGCCAGCTCTGTGGCTGAGTGCTGTTGTGCAGGATGCCCCAGATGCTGGGGATTATAGGCAGGTAGTGGTTATAAGGGCAGGCACACTGCCCGGGGGGCTGGGGTACGTCAATGTTTATAACTCTGGGTACAGGTCATAACTCCCTTTGTTCAGTGCCAAAATTTCAATCATTGAACTTCATTGAATCAGAACTAAATATAGTTCATTACTTTATTGAGGCATGAAAAAAATTGAGCCAGTGCTAGTAAAATGAACTTGGAGAGTGCTACCTTCTATGTGCTTGTTGTCAAGGATTGAAATACTGTAGTTTTTATTGAGAAATAATTCTGAATGCTTTAATACTTGATTAGCTGTAATTTTACATATCAACTATACAGTTAACATTTTTATATTGTATAGGCCCTTGCAATCCCACCTATCCATCCTTTGTACCCCTTGTGCTTTTAAATCAACATAGAGTATTAAACAGAAAATTTGGGATATAAATCCCTGAAGACACAGAAGCTGTACTTCACACTGTCTGTAGACTGAGCATCACTATAACAATTTTATTTCCATAAAGTAGTTTTCTAGTCTTGTGTTCAAATGCTGGAGAAGTGAAGTGCTGCAATGTAAATTTACTAAACATCCTCAATATAGGATAAATAGTAAGACCTCATGTGTAAATGAATTAAAAATGATATGCATAAGTAATTCTCAGATTTTGAGAAGCTGATACATAGCCGTTGCAAGCTTGGTTTTTAAAATGCTGTTAAGAAACTTATATCAACAAATAATAAATATAAATGCCCCCTCCCTTTTTTTTAAATTTTCTTTTTAAGGCTTGGGTTGCAAACTTTGAACGACCTCGAATGAATGCAAATTCCCTTCTTGCAAGTCCAACAGGACTTAGTCCTTATCTGCGTTTTGGCTGTTTATCTTGCCGTCTATTTTACTTCAAATTAACAGATTTGTACAAAAAGGTATGAATTGACCACCTGGATTTGTCTGCATGTATTGAAGACATGTATTTAAAAAGTGAGTTTTTAATCATATCTTACGATTTACAGGTGAAGAAAAACAGCTCTCCTCCTCTTTCCCTCTATGGCCAGTTGTTGTGGCGTGAATTCTTTTACACAGCAGCAACTAATAATCCACGATTTGATAAAATGGAAGGCAACCCCATATGTGTGCAGATTCCTTGGGACAAAAATCCGGAGGCTTTGGCCAAGTGGGCAGAGGGTCGGACAGGGTTCCCTTGGATTGATGCTATTATGACCCAGCTGCGTCAGGAAGGCTGGATTCATCATCTTGCCAGACATGCTGTGGCATGCTTCTTAACACGGGGTGATCTGTGGATTAGCTGGGAGGAAGGAATGAAGGTACAATTTTCTTCCAGTTAACACATTTTGATATTGTCCTTAAGATTTGACATTCCAGTTTATTTCTAAATAATGTTAAGAAAAGTTGTATTGCATACCCAGTTTGTGGTTGATTCTTCTGCAGAACATGATGTATGTAAATCTTTTTATTATTGAAGTCTTGACATATTTGCTTCTTTATTAACAAAAAACAAACAACCCCTACTATCCTTTACTTGCAATTCTATAGCCACATTGTAGCCTCTTGGACTGAGCTGTGAGAAAATATAGTTTTGGAGTATGCTGCAAGTGTAGTTAATGTAGAACCAGTGGGGTAAATGCACATAACTGCTGTCACCATTATAAATGTTATATAATATAAAGTAATTTAGCTCAGTAGCAACACCTAGTGGTAAGTCAACACTTTATGCATTATAATGTGCATTCAGAATGTTTCCTTGTTTTCTCTCATCAGTCCCACACTCACTCTTCTTTCTTTAACACATTAAAACATGTATGAGAAGTGTTAGATAGAATACAAACAGGCTGATCTCAGGGATTCGATTGTCCTGTAGTACTGTGACTAATTGTTTATGCTAGTGGTTTTAAATATCATTCTGTTTCCAGCGTCTATTTGCATTATGAGTTTTCATAAATATGTAAGCTACCTTGAGCCCTTTCTGCAGATAAATGAGTTGTCTGCTGACTTTGCACATTTCAAAAGTTTACTGTATAGAGTACATATTTCTTCTCAGCTTTCTCCTTATGTGCTTAGATATGGACATTTTAAAAGCCAGCATGCCAACAAATTGCTACTTGAAACTATTTCGGAGAAAGAGTAAATACAGGGTTACATTAATTCAGTGGTTTTGATGTGGTTTTTTTTTTGGTAGGTATTTGAAGAATTGCTTCTTGACGCAGACTGGAGTGTGAATGCAGGCAGTTGGATGTGGCTGTCTTGTAGCTCATTTTTCCAGCAATTTTTCCACTGTTACTGTCCTGTGGGTTTTGGCAGGAGAACTGATCCTAATGGGGACTACATCAGGTAAAGAACCATTATCAGTTTAAAGTGAAATATTATACTGGGATTATTTTGATGAACCATAAAAATGATAGAAAATTTCTTTTCTTTCTTTTTAAATTAAGACGTTATCTACCTATACTCAGAGGTTTTCCTGCAAAGTATATATATGATCCTTGGAATGCCCCTGAGGGAGTCCAGAAAGCTGCAAAATGTATAATAGGAGTAAATTACCCCAAGCCGATGGTAAATCATGCTGAGGCGAGTCGACTGAATATTGAAAGGATGAAACAAATCTACCAACAATTATCCCGATACAGAGGATTGGGTATGATGGAAAGCTTTGGTTTCACTTTTTACTTTCATGACTTTTGGCCTGAAAGTCTTACTTAATTGTTGAAATCATAGTTTAATATTTATAATTGACTGACTGAAGAATGAAAAGTTATTTCTCTTGCATTTTTCTCTAATTTCACCTTTTTAAAAGTTGTAACTTTTAACATTAATGAAGGGCTAATATATTAATAATAAGATCACATAAGCTCTGGTCCTTTCAGGGTCAAAACACTGCAAAAAAAAAGCATTGCCTTTTTATTTTAGAAACACAGTTAATTTATTTAGGGAGAATTTTCTATATTTTCATGTTAAGGATCGGTTTATTTGTGGGATTGTTGTCTTCATCTTTCTGAGTGACAGTTCCAACATTATTGATATTTAATTTAAAATATAGTCTGTGTTTGCATGGGATTGATTCTTTAAAAATAATGCTCTAATTCTTGTTGAGAAAATTAACTCAGTTTTTGAGGCCACTGCATTTTATTTTGATTAGGTCTCCTTGCTTCAGTGCCTTCTAATGGAAATGGAAACGGAAATGGAAATGGAAATGGTGGCCTAATGGGATATTCTTCAAGCGAAAATCTCCCTGGTTGTGTTGGTACAAGTGGTAAGTTACTCCTATGTATGAAAAACTAAGAAGCATAAATAGCAATCTATTTGACTATCTACCAACATAATAATAAGCCAAAGATGAGTGATGTTTTTTTAAGGAGAGGACAAGGAGAGGCCTCCTTAAAAGGTCCTAGGAATGGCTTCTCTTGCAATGAGGAATTTATCACTGCATGAACTCACCTGATGGTCACCGTCTTGGAAGCTTTCACCAGCTGAAGGGAAAAGGGTTTAATTGTTTGACAGTGTATGTTTTCTGGTGCTGTGTTCAAATAACCCTGCCTCCTTTGTCCTGAGCACATTGTTCCAGAAGTCCTAGTGTTTATCTGGATGTTAATGAACAAAGTTAGGTTCTTGCCCTGATGTTCTTTCTGGACATCAAATGTTTCCTCCTGGCACAATTCCTTTCTAATGGTAGATCCATATACTTTGACATCAATCATGAGAGCTATCCTTAGGTCATGTGATAAAATTCTGACGTCGTTAGGGATTTTTTCCAGCAATTTCCATTCTTCTCTTAGGCTGAACTTGCTGGGATGGGCTGGACAGGTTGGCAGTTGTTTGAAATCTTCTTCACTTGTAGATAATCTGGACAATGGATTGATGTCCAAATGATTAGCAATCTTTTTAAATCCCTTCCCAGAATCATGGGCATCTTAAACCATCTTTATGCAGGCCTCAGGGAGCTCTTTCAATGTAGGCATATTTGTGATGCCGCCAGCCAACTAAATATGTAATAACACAGGAACCTCCCAGATCCTCTCTAACAATATGGTAAACATTTGCATCTGATCTGCTACACCTGTTTTTAATTATAGGTATTTGAGGTAGTGATAAATGTAGGGGTGTACTTACTTTTTCCACATATTAAATTTTCATTTAGATTTATTTATATTATACAATATAAATTGTGCATGATATTAAATACATCCCTTTTGTGTAATTCTATAAATCCTGAAAACAATATAGATTTGCTTTCTTTCAGGCACTCAAATGGGAACCAGTGAAGGACATACAGGGAATGTTCAATCATGTACCCATGGAGAGACTCATAAAGGAACAAGTGGAATTCACCAGCAAGGTGGGATAACTCAAAACTGCATTCACTATTCCTTCACTCTTAAATAATAATGTGTGATATTCAAATTCCCTTGACAAATCAAGATATATTGATTTCAGCAATGTAGCTTCTGCATAAGCATGTTTAAGAATAGTAAGTAAAAATAGGAATTGCTCTGGGGAAACCATTATATTACTAGTATAGACTAAGCAACTATATACCTAAAACAGTAAAGTCTAACTGATCTCCAAGGAAGTGAGGTAGGCATGACAACAACTCTTTACTATGAAGACTTCTAAATGGATCCCAAATGAAGGAGTTATGGAAGAAGTGGTTAGGCAGTTTAATTAATTAATTAATTAATTAATTAATTGCTCTTCATTGTTTTATGGTAGCCAAGAGTAATGTTTACTAGGTAACTGAATCATTCAAAGAGGTACTTGTTTTAAAATATAGAAACAGTATCCAAATAGTAGTGCTTAGTACACTGTGATTTTTATACTAGGATTTACTTATTTTCTGTAGAAGATATGTTATAAATGAAGTAAAAACTGAGTTTAAGAATATAAAGTGGGAACCTTTGTTTTCTAACAATATTAAATAAAGATACAGAATGGGGCATTATTGAGCAAGGGGGGAAATTGTAGTGAATATCTTACGGGTGCTCTTTCAGATAATTTTTGCTTATGATTAGGGATAAGTTAGATTTCACATTCAAAGACACAATTTGAGAATGGTATTTGTTTGTGACAGAAAATGTGACTTCTAATAAATTCAGTACAATATTTCAAACTATGACAGAAAAATTAGTAATACTATAAATATTACTTATTTATATTTATTAAAACTATGGGGGAAAGTTTAATGTTGATTTCTAAAAAAATTTGTTCAGAAATTAATACACTTTTTAAAAATAGGTTACGCTCAAGGAAACAGCGGAATTTTACATTATGCTCATGGGGACAGTAAAAAAACACACTTAGTGCAACAAGGTATGATTTCTGTACATTTATGATTTTGAGTTAATCAAATTTAAATCAAATTCAATTTTCAATCAAATTGAAAGTCAAATACAACATTAAAGAATATGTTTGTTTTCAATTGTCTTCAATCTAGGAAGAACATCATTTAACATTGGAGTGTGCACTGGGAAGCGGCCAAATCCAGAAGAAGGAATTCAAAGTATTGGTCCAAAAGTCCAGCGACAGAGCAGTAATTAATGGGTAAAACTGAATAGTGAAGAAAATGATTGATAAACTACATTCTAGTCTCACAAAGAGGAAACTAAGCGTGCCTGCTGCATATTTCGGGAGCATAACTTTCTTGGAAGAAGTGGACCAAACACCATTGCATCTAAAATCCTATTTGGCGGTGGCCAAGAACTCCCTGTCATTAATTTCATACTTTGAGCAGTCATAATATTATCCTGAGTGTATTGTCATTTAATTACACTTAGTTTCTATTTTTCCATTAAATTGTGAATTAATGTGGTTTTATTTCTTTGAATTTGCTGAGAGATAAAATATTCACTTGAAACCCACTAGTCATTTGTGTATCATCTTGGGTAATGGGCAGTATTTATTTTTTCTTGAAATTAGTTAATTTTTATGCATCCCAATTTATTTTTATAGTGGGAAGTTTAAAAAAGAAATTTCATCTGTTGTCATTTTCTACAGATGACACTTTTCTCTAAGCAGTTTAATATTTTTCAATTTTATATTCATTTTTCCCCTTTTTCTTAAAATAGACTATCTAGATGCATTCAGGCTAATGTATATGTAGCACATGGATTTACCCATGTAACTTGGAATATTTTTCTCTTAGGACTTTTAAATTCTTGTTTTCCTTCTTATATGCATCAGCAGCAGACTTACCAATCGGTTTATAATAATTAGCCATGCATATTCCCAAACATATTTTGCTCAGAAAAAGCTTAGGCTACCCTTCTTGAAGCTTGGGAAGGCATATGATTCCTAAAGCATTTTGAACTAACAGCATCTTAGAAAAGATGAAGAACTTAGATCAGGGGTGTCAAACTCAAGGCCCAGGAGTCGGAGCCGGCCCGTGAGGTGCTTAGATCTGGCCCCCCAGGCCAACCTGGAAACAGCGAAGGATTGACCCAAGGTGCCTCTGCATGCTCGCTGGAAGAGGGTTGCAGGAGGCTGTCGCAGCTGAAAACAGAGCTTGGGAGCCCATTTTCGCTGGCAGAGTGCTCGGGCCACCACAGGCACCCTGACACAAGTGATGTTGAGCTGGCTACACCCACCCCAGCGACCCAAGGTCAAACACAACCCTGATGCAGCCCTCAATGAAATAGAGTTTGACACCCCTGACTTAGATTATTGAAGAGCTTCATCTTTTATCTTTTTGGATAAATGTCAAGAAAAATTAATGAAATATTTATTGTTGGGGGTTTTTTTCCATCTGGCACACAATGATGGAGCAACCTATTGTCTAGGTCCTCAGCATGGTGCAGGTGTACCTTGATGCCCACCAAGCATACTACCTAATTTAAAAAAAAAAAAAAAAGGGGGGGGGGGGAGGAGCTAGCATGTTGCAGAACACCTTCAAGCATAATTTCTGTCTGTGCTTGATATAAAAAGGCATTCTTCACCAATAAAATAATAGATGGTTACAATGCATTGCTTTGTTATTTTTTGGTATATGGATATCTTCTGATTACCATACTACAATTGTAACTAATCGGTCAGAATGCCTGCGAATGTTGACCAGGCAGTCATCCGCCCTACTCTACAAATGTCACTGCCTTTGCAGTAAGAAGACTGGGCTAAGAGAAGAGAGGACCTGAAAATAGATTCTGACAATTATGGACTTTTCCTCCATCCCTTGCTGAAGCCGACAAGCCCCTTTTCCAGCTTCACCTGTACCATGAACTGTAGATTGCATGCTGTAGTTCTTGGAAGCCAGCCTGCCTCCCTACCCTTGTTCCAGTTCTGCAGCCACCCGAAACAGCAATTCCCCTATCGCCTCCACCTTCCCCATGGGAACTTCCGCTGACTCTCCTGACTCACTCGGAAACAGAGAGCACTGTGCCTTCCTGTCCTGCTTCTTCCTCTCCAGCTGGGCCTGCTTGGGCCTGACCAGCAAATGAAGCTCCACCATCCTGCCAACCTCACCGCACACATCCAGGGCTATACCTTTGCCTTGTGCCTGTGTCTTGGCCACCAGGGAGAGGAAGGAGACAGCAAAGGTCAGCTCTGAGCAGTGGGGAGGAGGGGGGGGACAGCAGGGATATGTGATAGAATGCAGAGCACCATAGATGGGAGCAGATAGGTGGGTGGGGCAGTTGAAGTGCCCTTTCATTTGAGTGCAAGTGAATCTAAATTTTGATTGTGTGACATGGGGGAGGGGGACACTGCAAAAGCCATACTTTCAGGTACAGGTCATCTCCCTTTGTTCAGTGCGGTCATAACTTCGAACTGTCACTAAATGAATTGTAAGTTGAGGATTACCTGTAATGTACAATGAACTAAATATTAGTGATTTAATATGTCATCAGACGTCACTGATCATTGCGTCTACAAATTCAGGTTCTCTCTCGTTTACTCCCCATTATCCAGTCAATAGCATCCACTTGTCCATTGCTATTTCTGTTTTTTTCCCCTTACTGTGGATGTGCTTAATCTTTGGTTTCTGTATTTGAAATATATTAGTATTTGCATTTTGAAGCCAAAAAGGTTAATCTTTTGGTTGCTACAAACATATAGATCTTAAAAGTTTAGTTATGGAAATTATTTTGATTCAGCATTGCATGAAACCAGTAAATTTTAAATTGAAAGTTCAAGTACTTCAGTTTGTTCTAACTAAGACATTAACGCCTTTTTTAAAACAGTTTTTTTCCTATTTATAACTGATAAGTTTATCCCCAAATTTTTCCTGTGCTCAGCTTTCATAGCAAATATTCAGCTGCAATCTTATTCACACTTACATATATGTAAATGCAGTTACTCATTATGGGTTTATATATAGATGTACATAGAACTATGATATTTTTTAACTCACGTGATTGCGTATCGGCTCCTTTTCATTTTGCCTTTGTTTCTATTTAACATTCTGTTGACACTTGTTAACTGCTTACTGAAATCCCTGTATCTATTGCTATGCCTGTTTTCTGCTGCTTTTTGTCTTCCACATCCCCCTTTCTCCCAGCCATTTTTGGATTTTTCACTGTTAAAGACACTATGTTTTAGAGTCTTGTAGCACCTTACAAGCCACTTTTATCATCTGCCAGTCAGGTATTCCAAAGAGAGTTTGTATTTCTAGTTAAAAGTATATAATTAAAAATAAAAGTACACTTTGCTAACTACTAGATTATCTTTCAGACTCAACAAGCATAGCAACGAGTTTCAGTACTAATTAGCAAAATATATTCAAAGGTTTCTTAAATTATTTTCTAATGGATTTATTTATTTTTGTCTTACAACATTGCTGAAAGGGAAGGATCCGCACCCTAAGTTTCAGTTTTGTGACAGTGCTTGTATTAAAATATGCATTTTCATACAATCTGAATGGTTCTAAACTCGTATTTTTGGGCTGTACGGTTTCTAACCAACCTTTCTATGGTTTTTAAAATTTTAAATGATGTTCACCAAGGGAAAACAATAGATTTGTAAATAAAACAGTTGATAATTAGTTGCAGTGTAAATACAAGCATTCATGATTAGTGATATCCATCTATTTTTGATATTTCATGTATGGCTTTCATAGATTCCATGGCTGGATAGAAAATAGAACATGTCTGAACTACAATGTTGGTCCTCTTTACATTTTTTTAAAAACTTGGAACAGAATTTTTGACTACTTCATGCTCCAGGCTCTCACTTTTCAAATGTTTTATTTTTCCAGTGTATAAAATATAGTAAAGATTTTACTTTTTGAAAACCATCTGTATATAAAACTATGCCAATATTTTTGTTAAAGTATAAAATTGTCATGAAATGTATTCCATCCTTGTGTTTCCCACTGCCTTTGTGAAATCGGTGAGGATGCTCTGATTAATAAAAAATGTATATACACAGATTATTTCACCTATACCCTAATTTTAGAGAGTGGATTCATTGTCGGAATCAATTGTTATAAAAGAAGCCTTTATACAATGGATTTCTTTACAGCTTTTGTTATTTTAAAAAAAGCTGAACTGTTGAAAACAGTGGAAAATTCAGAAGTATAGAGCACAACACTCGGGACAAGAGCCCAGAGTTTTTTACAAGAAAGACAGATGCTGAATAATGGGAAGGCAAAGATTTATACAGAAGTTGAAGGCTGCAAGGCAAGAAACCCTACAGATCTGATTTATTGGCCAGTTTGGTCTGATTTGCTGGCCAGTTTCCTTATCTTTGCACCTCGGTTATTTCTATTGTTCGGTAGAGTGGCCCTTTCACAAATAGCAGCAGAGCTGGGGAAGTTGAACTCCTCTGTTGAGGAGGAATAATGTTGAGAAAATCGGGCTGATGGATTCTCATCTTATTACTATGCTGCTATTCTCTTACTAGAGCTGCCCTCGAGCTGTACTGTGATCTAGTGAGGAAGTTTCTGTGGTTTAGATGGGATTGCAAGGAGCTTTGCAGGGGGTGGGGGAGCAAGAGGGCAGGGAAGATAGGACTAGGTAAAGAGAGGAGCTGAGTTTCATCGTTTCCAAAAGACGAAAAAGGATCTCGCCTCCATTTTGTTAAATTTATCTTCTCTATTACATTCTTGGAATAGTATGCATTCATATAAAACAGATTTCCAGACATTTGCAGCAGAATCATTCTGGTTTAATCAACAGAACTAACAACACTTATTGTGTGAATAACTATTATTTCTTATACCATGATATAAAGAGAATCTGCTTGGTTAGGTAGGTTGAATGCCTGGATCCATATTGTTCTCTGAAATAAAGTTTCACATGCTAAGTATCTGTACTACTTGTGTCACACACATATTTTTGCCATATTCCTATATATATATACATGCAACGTGACTTTTAGAGGTAAATTCCCAGCAGATTCTCTGAAATTTATTTCTTCCACCTGTTGCTGAAATTGTCCACATTTCTTTTAGATCCCGGTCTTCTATCTTCATTCTTTTTTTTATTGAAAAAGTTTTCAAATACAAATTTCCCCCCTTTTTTTTCCCCCTCTCCCTCCCCCTCCCTAACCCCCCCTCCCCACCCATCCCCCCCTGTGACTTCTTCATAACAAAAAAAAACCTAATTCATAACAGATTACTTACTCCCTCCTCTAGATATTGACCTTTACTTACTAAAAATATTATTAATATTATAACATCCCCCTTTATCCATACATATCAAAAAAGAGAAAAGAAAGGAAAAAAAAAAAGACATTATACTATGACATTATAAAATAACTTCTCCACTTTAAAACTATACGATAAGTCCTATTTTAACATCTTCTATATATATTACTATAACATTTCAAAGCGGCCTTCCCCATAAAATCTAGTTTAACATTTATTCCACTCTATCCATTTCCTCCACTCCCCTAAATATAACACTTAAAAATCCCTTTTCTTAG